TTCCCCTGTCTTCTAAACCAAGACACTTGGATAAACCAGATGAGGCTTTGGGAGTTAAGATCACTGGCTGCTTTTGCAAGGCAGTAGCAGTGTATCGAATAAACGAGTCCCAAGGAGTTTGTTTTGGTTTTATGACTGCCCTGCTTCATTCTTCCCCTCCATCTCACTGCAGTATTCTGTAAAAATCCTTCTATGTCTTATTTAGGTTGTCTTCCCTGTTTTCATTTCTGCTGGAAAGCAGTATTCATTGCCTGAGTCTATTTCTGCATAATTTCTTGTCCCTCTAATACTACTTTCTCATGTAAGGATAGAAGGTTTTTAAACAGCTCTTACTGCTGTTGAAACAACTGGAAAAGTTCCTGTTTCTTCATAAGGATTAGACTGCATCTCTGCAAATTGTCTGTGCCACCACAAGCAAGATTCATCTGACTGAATGCCAGTGCACAACGTGTATTTTCACATCTGAGCTGTGTATATGGGCATTACACTTCATTGAGGCAGAGCCACAGGGAGAATCACCTTCTAAAAGAATCAAGACACAGCAAGTACACTATAGCCTAAAAACACCTTCCCCTGCTTCTTTATTTTTGAGTCTGTATCTGCCTAACTCAGCTGTGGATGCCTGCAGTTGTTTTATGTCCAAAAGCTGAAGGAGACAAGTCCCAGCCAAGCATTTTGCAGGCTTATTCTCAGGCTGTGTGACTTTTCTTGTAGTACTTGTTCTGTCCTTACAAAACACATCCTGTACAAAGTGGTCACTCTCTTCTTCTTCTGCACCATTTTTAGGGAGTCCCATGACAAGCCTTAGTTCCTTAGAGCTATGTTGGTCAAGAGGAAAGATGAACTAAGAGAACAGGTTGTTTAGAGAGGTGGTAGATGGCCCATCCCTGGAAACATTCATGGTCAGTCTTGATGGGGCTCTGAGCAACCTGATCTAGTTAAAGATGTCTCTGCTCATTGCAGTGGGGTTGGACTAGATGACCTTTAAAGATCCCTTCCAACCCAACTATTCTATCATTCTGTGGTTAATTACATGATTCTATATTGGGTCTCTGCCGTACAGCTGAGGGCGGTCGCTAACCTATGCAATAAGTAGACAAATATAATTATATACAGCATAAGGTTCAGCTTGCAGTCAGTGGAAGTGCCATGGGCTCTGGATAAAGGTGATTGGTGCAATGATTTCTGATTTTTGCAAGCAGTAGAGTTGTTTAAAAAATGATTGTGTGGCAACAAGTGAACTTATTACACTCTGAAGGCCATGGATCTTTCATTCTATAAACTTGCCCTTCCATAACTCCAGGCTCTGCTGTGGCTGTGTGTACATTAGAAGGCAACGCATGAAGTGCGTCTGGGGAAGTTTACTTTCTAATTTGCTCTTACCTGTTCCTTTGGTCTACAGGCCCAAGGCTGGGCAGATGGCATTATGTGGTCTCTTGCAGGACATCTTCTGATTTTGTATCTTGCAAAAAGATTCAGATCTGGGTGCTACAACATGAGCCAAAATGCAGTAGGGCTGTAAGGTTGAGACATTAACTTCAAAAGTGCCTGCCCAGCCTGAATTAAGGTGCTAGTATAGCTGCATCTTCTGTGGCTGATGTTGTACAAGATCACCCACAATAAGTCTTTCGGATTAAAATGCTATAAACATAGAAAAAAAGGCAAACGTGCAACTGGCTTTTTTTTCCCACATGCTTTTCCAACTGGAAAATTTTACGTGGAAAGTCTTAATGTATTACTTTCACTGCTCCCAAAACCTTCATTCTAATCTATATTACCTGATACATCATGGATCCTGCAAGCATTTATTTATGAGTATTCCCATTAACTTCTGTAAGACTACTGAATTAAATAAAACCTTTACTTTCTTTCCAGTATCAGGATACAGATCGAGATCCAAGATCATAATGCATTTTGATTGTAACAGAACAAGAGACTTTTCCAGAAATTCTGTGAAATATTACCTGCTTTAGTCCTTCCCAAGTGAAACTAATATTAAGAATAATTTAAAGAAAAAGCTTATTATAGGAAGGGATGAGCATGAAATAGTTTATTCTGGGCCATGAAATCTGTTGTCTCATGACCACGCAAACACTGCTTCTTTGCTTGATCTTATCGTTCTTAGAGTCTACGCCCAAATTAAGCAAGTAGACCAACAGCATGCTCATGACAGATGTAAAATCTTTACTTTAGTACATTTGTAAACTGCTCTGTTGTTGGCAGGAATACCATATCATTCCACAGAGTCATAAAATCTGTATTTTATGAAAAAAAAATGAAAAAAAAACATATAAAGTGAAACCAAATCTTAAAATAGATTCAACTACAAAGAACTTTGTTTTGTAAAAGGTAGAATGGAAACAATACAGTAAAAAATATATTATAATGAAATGGTTTTCATTTCCAAAAGCTTAACTTATTTGTTTTAAAAAGTTGAAATGAAATTTGCTCATGGATGCTAAACCTTAAAAATAAAAGCACAATAGGACAGAACAAATATGCCTTTATTATCAAAATGTGGATGTACAAGTTGTAAAATACCATAAATGTTTGGAATTGTGGGTGCTGCTTTTAAAAAAAGGCTTTCATGTCAGAAGTACTTTGGATTAAGATATGTTTCTTTCTATTCAGGATGATTTTCCTTCAGAATAGACTATGAAAACAGAGACACATGTAACTTCTTCACATTTTATAACACCTAACTATGGATCTGAGCAAATTCTCAATGTTTTTAGTTTTCCTTACTAAGCTGCTTTTCAACTCTGGCTCAGTCAGCCTGTTGTTACAAATAAAAAGATCTTTCTTTGTCATGGTTATCACACACTACTAATGTGTTTGATCTTGCGTCCACTAAAGTCACTAACAAAACTTTGACTTGGCCAGAGTCACGTCTTTTACTACAAAGCAGAATGCATGAAGTTAAAGAACAATGTGAATACATTCACACTGCAACTTTTCCAGTGGACTTTGGGTATTTATATGAAATTATTCAGTGTTTGGCCTATCTGACACTACATTCACGTATTTACATCATATACATCTGTTATAAACTCAACAGCAGGTGCTCAGAAACAGCAGATTCACAAAACTCCTGACCAGATCATTTTAATTAACGGAGACACAGAGGATAATGTAAAGCCTTCAGGATAAAACTGGCCCAAATACAACTTTGTCTCTGGCAAGTAGCCAGAAAAGTGGCAATCTTTGACAGGCTACCTAATGAATTGTTTCAAGTTTTCTTCCAGGATTTTGAAAACAAAAGTCACACTTACTTATAAAACCACATTTTTGTTGCTGATGTTCCCAGTGGCAGTCAAAAGAAGAGCAAGACTGTAGGTGGAAAGTCTCAGCCAGTGTGCTCTGTGCGTTTGTCCTTGGCTGGGGATCCTGCTTCTGGAGGAATCAGATGTCTCAGGATCCAGAGGGTGAAGATGAAGGTGGGCATGGGGAGGACCTTTCCTCACCCTGCTAGGGTGGGAGCATGGTGGGGGGGATGCTCACTAACTGCTGCAGCCTCTGGTGCAGCCGTGTCCCAGTAAATTGTTGTTACGCCCGTCTTGGAGTTTCTCATGGCTCTCAAGGGATGCTCTGCTGTCCATGCTAGAAGTCTGTCCACTTTGATCCTGCTGTCTTCTTAGTCTGCCAAAGGTTAAAAACATTGATATAGCTATCATGTGCAGATAAAGGTATCAGAGTGACAGCCATTGCTTGTCCTGCAGACAGCCACTTGCACCTGGGGAGATGCCTGCACCATTTGAGCTCTGTTAGCTCCCTGAGCTTTACAGCTGCCATTTCTTCTAAACACTGGCGATTGCTTCCTCCTAAATATGTGCTGCTGGATCTTGGTCTTGGTCAAATAGTGCTCCCATGAAAGCCTATCATAAAGAGTCAGCAGAGGAGAGTGCTTTCTCTGGCTTTAGCTCCTCTGCTCAGACTGTAACTTGAGAAAACCTCCATGTAGCTCGCGGCTGGTGGGAGTTGTTGACCGAGCACACAATGACTGCTCCCCTCTGCTGTCCTATGAAATGACCAGTAACCTCCACCAGTACAAGGGAAAAAACCATGAGGTGAAAGTATATTCAGTATTCTTCTTATTACTTCCTAGGTTGTCAAAGCCACCTAGGTGGTTTTAAGGAACAACAACAGCAAAACCCAACTTGTTTAAAGACTGAAAAGTCATCTTTTGACATCATTTTCTAGACAGCAGCAACAGCCCTAACAGCTGTCCCCATCCATTTTTCTGTCACCAACCTTCTCAACATTTCTGTTGAACACTGGTATCGACTTCTGTTGTTTTACTGTGATTCATGTGATATTCAGTGTTTTCCTTCAAACATAGACATGATGTAAGTAATTTCAAGAAAAGTGTAAAGATTCATCAGGAAGCTATGAGGTAGAGAACAATATTTTTTTGAAAACATGAACAGCTGCTGTTTGGGAGAAATTTTGTTCTTAGCTTGTTTTCTCAAAATGAGAAACAGCTGTTGATATATTCCTGAAGAAGGCACCAAGAGCTGGCACAGAGACATGATGAAAAAACCTCTTCATAACAATGACTATAAATGGTAGATAGGATACACTCCAAAAAAACCTTTGCAAGTAACATTGAATATGTAGAAAATAAAAATGCAATAATGAAATGTAAAGGGTCATTTCAAATGGATAAAATACTTTCAGGTGACATAAAGTTTATAGAGACACCATATTGAAAATTCAGATGAGAATGTGAAAGGACATGAAAATTCTGTCATAGCTAAACAGAGGAATAAAGAAGACTATTTTAATGTAAAAATAATTAAAACATTGTCCAAATACATTAAGCTTAAAAGAGCACAAGCACTGGCACATTAACTAAAGAAACTATAAGACAGAAAGAAAAAAAAAAAGCCAAAACCAGATTAGGTGAACAAACTGCTAAAGGCATTTACCCCAATGGTGATTTTTCAAAGTGCACCAGAAATATGACGGCTGCCAGTGACTCTACAGTCTGGTGGAGGACTGAGATATTAAAGGACAGCACAACAAATATGAGTCCCTAGCTGAAAAGCTAATGAATTATCTTCGTCAATGTTCATGACAAATGAGCTTGGGGACATTCCTTTCTTTATGAGAAATTTGTCCATCATGCCCAGTCACTCCATCTGTCAAACAGCTTTAGAAACAGTTGTTCAAATGAATGCTGACAAAGCATCAAAGATTTTCACCCAAGGGCTCTAAGAAAATTGAAGTATATAATTTCTGCACAGCTGAATTGAGTGTTTAACTTACTTACTTTTGAAACTGTCTTGACACCAAAGAATGGAAGACAACAAATGTGACGGCATTATATTTTATTATTTTTTTTAAAAGAACTTCGAAATAGATCTAGGGGACGACCAGGTGAGTAATTGTATAAGACAAAATCTTGAAACACTTTAGCATCTGAGTTATTTGGCCTTACAAGACTTAGGTATTTGCAGGCATCAGGAGAAAAGGCTACTGTGTTTTGAAACTCTTGCTGCAATCTGGGGATTGCAAACCTGTGCAAACTGCTAAATAGTGGAATGAGACAAATTTTGGCTCTATGGAGATATGAGGAATAATCATATTGCTCTAAGACATGCAAGTGGTTTCTCCCCAAATTTATTTACTATTTACTTGGTTCATAAAAAGCTGAAAACGGAGGCATTTACCATACCGCTAAGATTAACGGGGAAATGAGAAGTCTCTCAATAACAACATAGCAAGAAAAAAACAATTTATTTTTTTTAAAACCACTCAAACTGGCGCAAAGGCAGCATCTAAGGAGGACAGAGGAAAAAGGAGAAAAATGAAGCCCATGTAGAATTCAAAAGATACCACTGACCAGCCTCGAACATCCCCCTGTATACAGAGGTGGCTTCTATTGTTGATTTATTTCCATTTATTTTCCTTTATCCTGTTCCTACTCCTCAGGTCCATTATTGAATCATAATTAGATTATGGGGGTTTGGAAGCACTAAAGAAATAAATTCTTCTAGCAGTTCTTCACTGTGTTCCCTGTTGAGGCATTTTCTGTGTCTGTATCTAGATTCACTACCCATACTTACGAACCATCAAAGTAAGCAACAGGTTATTAACCTGATACAGTAGTAAAAATTTAACTGTTATTTAACTATTTAAGAATGTATCAATCACTTTATTCCATGATTAAGATTACATTAAAGACTTCACTAAGGGTTTACCATGGGCTCACTAGCACCTACTTAACCAGTGTGCCCCAGGGGTTGGGAAACTGGACTCAGAATTGGGAGATGCTGATTCTGTTTCTATCTCTGTCACCCTCTGGATAAATTATAGCCCTTTTCTTTGCCCCAGCCTGTCTCTTGAGAAGGCTGAGAGAAAGTGAAGGGAGGCGAAGCTAAGGGGGAACTGTATTTCTCCAGAAATCCCACATAGTTTGGAGTTCTAATTAAAAATCTGAGCTGGATAAGTTTGGCTAAGAAATTGATACAAAACGAATGTTAAGCCATGCCAGAACTGATGAAACCCTGTGTTCTTATCAGACCCATGCCAGCTTTTCCTGGAAAAACTGGAGACAGGCTTGTATATTCAGCTCTCGATTAGGGAAAAGATATAATGAGCAGGAACGTGCCAAGCAATGTGGGACTTTGCTTGTAGTTGCACATCAGATGTTGAGGCAGCTGCTGCCAAAACTGGTGGAAGCTGAGAGCTTTGTGCCTCTAAGTACTGTTCTGTGCCTCACAGGCCTGAATGAAATGAGGAATTACAGTCTGGTGTCTGATGATTAAGAAAAGAAGGTGGCATATATAATCAAGCAAGATGTAATTATACAGCATATGTAATTATGGATATATGCATTACTGAATATAAAAAATACAGAAAGAGAGCAGCCTGGTGGAAAGCTAACATGGAAAATATAATACTGGAGCAAAAAATCCTGCTACAACTATGACAGGCCAGAGTGAAAGTCACAAACACCTAATGAAACCCAGTAGTAAATGTAGGGACCACCAGGGAAGAGCTTACAGGTCAGCTTTGTTCACTACATGAAGAATGTTGAAAGTTGGTCTTTAGGCTGCTTAATAGGGTAAGTTCAATGAAAAAGGATTAAAAGTTGCAGATTAAACATAACTGTCAAAATTTCAGATTTGCCCCTCCCAAACCACTACAATTTCAGCAAAAGATAAAATAAGGCAACTGGTCTGTATTTCAATCTAGCTCCAAACTGCAGAAAGGCTCAGGTGAAGACTTAAACAAATCTCACCACAGCGGTTGGGTGTGAACAAGCAGTCTCTTCAGTTAAAATGTTGGACAGTTGCTGAAGTGAAATTTTTTATCTTGTTCGTGCATTCTTGATTCCTTGCTGCCAGAGGAGGAGCACTTTTCTATAAGATGGTCTCAGTTTTTCAAAAAAAGGAGTACCTGTCCTCAACATAGTTCCTGTAATCATGGCAAAATGAATGCAATCTGGGCCATTCTGTTTAAAAATGGCACTAGTGTAATAAATCATTTGATAGAACCTCTTTCCAGTGAATGAGTTATCTTGCCTTTAGGCTGATGCAGCTACAGGCTCTGGTAAGTTGATAAAGTCCCAGGGAGAATGAGAGGCTTGATGAGGACTTAGTCGTGGACCTGAAGCAGGTAGTTGTTCCTGTGCTGAACCCTATTGACTGAGAATACATGGTAAAATGCCCAGCTGTGGATAAAAAAATTGAACAAGTGATTCTAGTATATATGGGAAAAAAAAACCTGCAGGGAAAAGAGGAAGAAAATGAGTTTGAACAGTGGCTATTATATTTATCCCATGACAATTCTGTACAGAGACATGAGCAGTCTCAGAGATAGTTATACTTCTACTGAACCAACAAAGAGATAAGCAGAGTTTTCCTTCCTCTCACCACTGATCTATGCAATACTGATAGTGTGTGACACTGAGCACTGAATCTTCCTCTCCAGCAGGGAAGAAGAAAGAAGCTGTGCAACCACCAGAGGAATGCATCAGGAAAAGTAGCTGAGCCTTCAGTCAAGTCTTGGGTTTCATCAGTATTTCTGGCAAAGAGGAGGTGTCTGTGCGAGCTATGGAAAGGTATATAAGATTCTTAGTATCTCAGTATACAGATATTATAGTAGAGTTGCTGTAATATTGATTTCCAGTGCTGGATCTTGAATGAGATATTGGTGAGTGGAAGGGTATTCAAAGACAGGGAAACTTGCTGGTCCAAAAAGCCTACAGCAATACAGAGCAGTGGCATCAGGCTTACAAAATGTAGCTGCTATGCCACTATGTTTGCGAGCTATATGGAGGCTGTTACACCGCCTGACACTCTTGTCTGTTTGCTCAGTTCTCTTGATGGAAACTATTACATCCATTGAAAGAAGCCTTGAGGAGTGGATGAATCTCTAGAACACTTATCCCAGTTACACTGCACAAGGGAAGGGATCTGGGGTCAGAACAGGTGAAGCATATCTGCGCTAGCTTTTCAAATTCATGAATTCCGAGTGACACGTTGCTAAATAGTTAGAAATCCACCTCAGTTCTATGATTTAGCCGCTACACAGAAGTAATGCTGATGTCTTGTCCAGATGGTCTTGCTAGAAGGCTAACTCTAAACGTGTCCAAATCAGGAAAAGAAAAATAACTCATCCATCACAGGGAA